ATTTGAGCTCTATTTTTTTGCGCCAAAATGCATTTTGAAATTGTATTTTATTAGAGAATGTGTAGTTTAAAAATAAAAAAAAAGTTTAGATTTGCTTGAAAAATTATTTTATAGAAAAATTTGTGGTTGAAAATGAATTTTCAAAAATTAAATTGTTAAAAATTTGGGGGCCAGCTTCATGTCCTACGTATCTGTACGTGATTGCAAAATGTCATATTAGTTTTAACGGTCCAAGGAGACGAATGGTCAAACTTGTTTTGCCACCGTCCACCCATGACGCGGTTGCGAGGCTAAAACACCCAACTTCTAAATTCAAGTCAATATAAATAATTTGTGTCAACTCAAAAGCTCTCTCATCAATCACTTCAATTGTGTTTACTAATAATATGGCATTTTAGCATAAAGCATTTGGTGTTTTTGAAATTTTACTTTGTCCTTTTTCAATCATCCTTTATATGCTCAGCAAGACTCACAATTGCTTGCCATGAAACCATGCATGGTCCTACATAGAAGGTCTCTATTTATTTATTAATTCTTAGTATGTGTTTTCATAATTTATTAGGAATTTAAGGACCTAAGTTGCAATTTCAATTATGATAAGTTACTACGTAACTTATTAGTTTTGTGAGAATTGAGATGGATTTTTTGATTAAAAATTTACAGAACTTGTGAGAGTACTTTTTCTTTAATTATTTATTTAAATTTTTGTTGATCTCATAGTCGTCTTTAATCATCCGCTATATATATATATATATATATATATCATGAATACTTTAATTTATATTATAGGATCTTTTGTTTTTGTCTAATATTTTTTGTTCTGGTTATCAATATTTTGCTCAATCCGCTATATGTAAATTCGTATGAATATTCAATAATTAATTAAAACTAAGACAAATTCATTTTTTTTTTCTTTTTTTGATTGCAATGAAACTCAAACTTAAAATCTGTCTCTACTATAATACCATATTGGATCCTATCGGTCTAAAGTTTAAGCTTTTAATTAAAAACGAGCTATAGTTATTTATTGAACTTGTCCATTAACGTGTAGATCAAACTCATTTTTTATCAAAGAATGTTGAGTAGGTATTACGCTCTTGAGTATGCATGTAAACATTACTTTTGACACATACTAGATTAATAGTGTTTTGTGTGCCTTGCAATTAATAACACATCAAAGATAACTACGGTAATAGGCGAGACATTAAGATTTTAGCTGACATCTATTATCAACACACAATTCATGTGCACAACATCTAGCCAACTGCCTTCAAGTGTTCACGCTTAGTGTAATAGTCCTACGTGCCTTCATCGCTAGATCAAATTGTTCAAAATATGTGGAGGTCCAATTTTGAATTCAAATGTAACCATTTCCTCTAACCCACATCAAATCCACTAGGGCGACCATCCATTTCCAACATTAACGAATTCCTCTTATAATAGCTTCTAAGAATTCTTTCCACTAAGCTTGTAAATAACATATGCATAATTGCTAGAGAAATTTCTTTAACAAAATATGAATGAATTGCAGAAGGCAAAACATCAATGCATTAAGCATAAAATTAATTTCCTCAACGTAATGATCAACACATTTATTATACTATTGCATATCAAATCGGAGGACAATCTACTATCTCATATGGCAACACCTCTGGTTTACATAAACGAGGTTTTCTATGATTCTTCCTCATGTATTCCTCATGTTACTTACTAAAACATATTCACCATGAAATCATCGAAGTACGAAATATGGGGAGAAACAGGACCTGCCTCCTCTACTGGTAACAAATAATTAGTTTCACTGGGTTCAATCCCGAAATTTCCCTGGAATCCAGAATCTGAAGAGTTGACACTATCATCTCCAACCCAGCAAAGATCATTCAGCATAGAAAAATCTGGGCATGATAATTCACTAAAATTCAGTTCACTGGATAATTCAAAAGGGTCGGGCACGGCTGGAAACATATTTGTTTGACCGTTATATGTAATAGGTGGAAATGTTTCGGGCAAGGAGTTATCTTGGGGAACTGCAATTGAATCGAAGGAAGTGGTGTCACATGCTATCCAATTGGCAGTATTGGGAAGTAGCATTAATTTTTCCGATTCTTTTGGGGTTTGGATTTGAGAAGGTGTGTTTTCAATAGTCTGTGGTACTGTGACTTGGGCTGCAGCTGCCTTTCGTTTATTGCATCTCTTCATGTGAGTATGCCAATAGTTTTTTATTTCATTGTCAGTTCTTCCAGTCAAATTTGCAGCAATGGCAGACCACCTGCATTTTATAGTTAGGTAGTGTTATTAGGGAATCAGAATAGGGCAATTCACTCTTTTGCTACAAAACTTGTTAAAATAGCAGCAAATTTTTTGACTATATATGCCAAGAAATATACAGATTTATGTTTAGATTGTCAGCTTTAGTCGAATCCAACAACTTGTGAGAATGCTTGATTTTATGTAATCAATTTGTTTTCGAGAAGAGAAGGACTTAGTAATTTATTACAGAAGTTTTTAGAGTGATAAATGGTTCTCACTTGTTCCCCAGTTGGTTATGTAATTCCGCGATAAGATCCTCTTCCTCTTTAGTGAAGTTCCCCCGTTTAAGACCGGGTTTCAAGTAATTCACCCATCGTAATCTGCAACTCTTCCCACATCTTGCTAAACCTGCACTTAGATTGACAAGTTTGGTATAATCATAAATTAGACTTTGAGCTCTCTCTCTCAATTACATAGAATACCAAATCTTCTCTAGAATCACATAAATAAATGGATAGATAGATAGATAGATATGGGGAAACAAAGATAAATAAGTGGAAGGAAATTAGGGTTCCCTTTTCCAGTTTGGAAGAATTGAATGTGTTGAATTTCAAGGAAGTAATTCAATTCTTCATTGTTTCTTCTATATTGTTACCAGGAATTAAGGAAAACAGAATATAAAGGAAGAAGCATCAGAATTTACCAGCATATTTGGGCAACAATCGCCAATTCCAGTGGCCATATCTCAGAACATAAGCCCTCAACTTATCATCTTCTTCTTTACTCCAAGCACCTTTCTTCATTCCATTATTATCAAAAAAACAGGGCCTCACCATTTTCACTTATTTGTTTGGATGTCTTTCTCCAGCTCTTTTCTTTCTTTCTTTACAAGCTCACTTGTATATATATGGCAGAAGAGCAGAAGCAGTTTCCGAAGAATTTATTTGCATGTGTTAACGTACGAAATAACCTAGGAAACAGATATTTTGTATATAAAATGTTGTCAAAATATTAGAACGCGTTCCTGAAAAGGATTTAAATATTGACGAAAAAAGAAATAGCGTGAACGAGGACCCATCTTCAGTCCCACTTATGACTTAATACAACTGGTCAAGTTAATCTTGAGCTAAATGCTAGACTTGGGTGAATATATAATTCTGGTTCAAAATATTTATAGTCAAAGTCTAGTACAAAATTCTTATTTTAAAGACTTATACACGGCAAGAAACTTTTATATGTTTTTAATGTATTTCATCTTTAACCATGTAAAATACGTCACCTTTAAATTAAGCCC